GTATTTTTTTAATATAAATATTGCATTTATAATAACTTTAGCTGATGATCTGAATCCATTTTTAATTTTCTTTTGTAAGGTAATCGTTTAATTTGTGACCCCCAAAAAACTTCATAAATAATTAGATATAACTTTTCAATTCAAAATAATTTTAAAATAATGAAGTGCAGTTATCTCAACATGCATATTTATAGATCTCAAGAATTCTTTCTAAACAAAATAGGATATTTTATAGTTTATATTATATTTCTAAACAATTTAACATAACATTGTAAAATCTAACATATAGTATATATTCCTCTGTTATGTACATATTTTTAACACATAATATTATTTACACTATTGTATATCAAATAACAAATAACTTTGGTTTCTCGTTTAATTTCGGCGCATCATTTCTGAGCCGGTCTAAGCAGTATTCGATAGGCGGATATTTTCCTTACATACATTTGCTTCTTATTCGTTTGGCAAATGCTAGATGAGAAATGTAAATATAGCATAAATGTATGCTATAAGAAGTAATAACAGTTGCATTCTTAATTCAAATATAAATCTATCTTATTAAAAGACTGGATATGCTTAAACTGATGGCCAAAAAGTTATCCAAAATTGGTTTGTCTAGCATTAACAAATTTTTTTAATCTTTATATTTTTGAAAATGTCACGTTTTTGTCATGGAATTGGCAGTTTAATATAGTGCATATATAAAAAACAAGTATCTGTCAGGCACTGTACATGATTCACAACAGCCAATGGAATAAAAGCTGTATAGCCATAAAAATAATGATAATACTGATATCATTTCGCTGTGCAAGTTGTTCCTGAATTCTGTGTTGTTGGGCCATAACAGACTCCAAGTGATTGTTGATACTTTGTAAAGTCTGATTTGTTTCTTCTTGTATTTTTAATAGTGGTTCCAAGCATTGTTTTAAGGAAACAGTTATTGTCGAGGGCTTTCCGGACCTGTGATGAGACACGGAACCTGTTAAGAAAAGAGAAATTAATGCGTGTCTTTTATCCAAAGAACTAAACATTGATTCTGAAATCAAAAAGCAATCAGGTTCATAGAGTTTTTGTATATTTTTTAATTATGTATGGAATCTCTTTGATGATATATAAATGCCATAATTTTAAAATATGGCAAAAATTATCATAACTAGAAATGTAAAACTTCATCTTTTATTAGTTCTTAATTTTATTTTTTCTAATTTTTATACAAACTATTATTAGAGATGCATTATGAAAAAAATCTAGCAACAAGTTGTGTAACTTTCCCAGCTGTTGTAACTTTTATATTACAATTTTATTTTAAAAAATGAGATTATTATTAAATAACAATGATTCCACACACAAAAATTTTTTATATTATTAATTACTGTATTATAACATGGCAAAAAGCTTTTAATTTTGAGGGTAGTGATGAGTTTTATAAAAAAATTGTAAATGCTAATTATGAAAAAAATCTTCATTGGGTCCAATCCCTCTCCAGATACAACATAGGATCCTCTCAAACTTTAACCATCAAAATTTATTAGCATCATTCCCCCCTACATATAAGTTACCATGCCAAATTTCTTTTCTGAATCTTTACCCCATCTTGAGATATTAAACAAAATAGATACCAACACATACAGAATTTTTTCCTTTTCTGGGTCCAACACTTTCCCTTGTAGTGCATATGTGATGGCCAGGAAAGTAACTAGTATGTTTGATTAATATTGGCTAATACTAAGTTTATTTTCTTTATAAATAATAGATTATTAAAATTATATTGATTGCAATTTTAGAGCATACAGACTTTTTTAAAACTTCTAAAGACCTTTTTCTTTTTAAGTTTTTCATGAATATACTGTATATTTATTAGGTGCAAAAAAGAAGAGATACAAAATGCACAGAAGGTGCAATTTAGAGCTCAATAGAAGAGGCATGTGGATTATATACTCATATGTAATTCATCAATATTGAGAAGATTATATTTCTTAATATTGATTGATTGTCATTTTTTGTTATTAGACCCTCTCCACTGTGATTTAAAATTTAAATTTCTACAAATAGTACAAGGAGAATATTCACTGTAGTGCCCAATGTCGTTAGGTCAGCAATGACTCAGTTTAATTTTTGAATTATTTTCATAGGGTAACAGAATAGAATGAGTTGAAAGGTTGATTGTATTTGAAATTTTTTCTTTTGTTACTATTGGTAGAAAATGGCTCCTAGGTTATAGATACTGTTTTTTTCTAGTTGAAAAAGATTGAGAATCATGATGGTGACCCTACACCAAGTGAAAACGTTGTCAACCAACTCCTGTACATACAGTACATATAATCAGAGTTGTCAACTTTCGGCAGGCCAAGAAAATAACCCCCAAAGCTTATGGTAATTCTGAATAGCTTGTTTGAAAGATTGATGTTTTCTTAGGTAGTCTACAAATTTCAGGTTTTTCTGTAAATGGGTTGCTGAAACATAAGCAATTGAAAAATGCAAAAATTGCCAAAAAAGCTGTATATTCTTCATCCAACACTACAGAAAAAACTACTGGGTCTAGAAAACTCAAATTTTAAACTTTAGCCTTTCCCATTATTGGTGAGGTCCTGACAAAACTTCTGGATCAACATGTCAAAGTTTATGGGGTTCCTATTGAGTTATTTTATTTTTACACTTGTAAGGATAAAATTACATTGAAACAAATGATTTTCATTAAAAATTTCATCCAGAATAACAAAAGCCTGAATTTATGCAAATTAAAACTTTTTGGTTTGTGGCTGTCACATCGCTGAGTACCAACTGAACTGTACAGTACGTCATCATCTTAAGTCTAGATGTAATATCACAATCATTAACCAAACAAATGCATCTGAGATTAAAATCAGAGGGTAAAAAAAAAAACTGCACCAAGTAAAACAATTATGACAATTTAGATGACAATCATGTTTTTTTCTTGAGAATTTTCTTTTGGTAAAGATAAGCTTGGCATTTTGAAACAGTGCCCACAAGATTTTTACCTGTATTAATGTTTTTGACATTTTTCTTGAAAGTATCAAGTTTATCTTTACCAAAGAAACACCAAAGAAATAAATTTGACTGTTGCCAAATTGTCATAATTTCTTACTTGGTGCAATTTTTTTACATATCAGGTGTTTCTGTGCATATTCCAGTTATTACAAAAATGGATTGATGGGAACATTAAAGACCATACACTTTTTAACCTGTGGTACATTATGTGGGATCAAAATGACCCCCATGACTTTTTAACAAATAGCATTATTTTAACTTACTATTTTACTGTTTAACTACTAATTTTATATGAATGTATTTTACTCTGTACAAACTACTGTAGTTTAGAAGAAAGGAGATCACATAGTTTGTTGGAGTCCCTTTGTATGGCATACAACATTCTGTGTAATTATCCTGGAATAGCTCAGACGGAGGTAGCTGCCACCCCATTGTAATTATTTTAAACAATTACTAAGCAATGACATTAGTTTTCTTTTCTTGAGTTGAGTAGTTTCATTTTAATACCAAATGATTCCTTGATAAGTCACTATAATCAATCTGTCCATTTGCAGCCAAAGGGGGTTAAACTTTATAGATAGTTATGGGAAAAGAAAATTTTTGGTGAATGATCAAGAATATCCTGGCTAGTTGTCTATCATACTGCCTGAGCCTTGATGTAGCAAATTTTTGTTTAACCCATGCTAGATTTAAATATCATGTTTTAATTCAGTAAGTGGTAACAAATGAGTAGCAAAAGAACAACAACAATATACATAATATACAAATCAAACATTACATATAAAAGTGATTTAACATGGTTAATATATATTAAGGATGCTAAGCAAAATGTTATAGTAATAGTATACGTTTGCAAGAAGTGCAAACTTATTATATCAAGCAAAATGGCCAATTACTGGTTAATTGGTCATGCATTATTGGCTGATACTGATTAATTGGCTGATTAGTGTTAATAGTTAATTATATTATGATTATTATCACATGAAATTATATATTCTTAATAAAAATAAATTTCAATATGAAGCTATTTTTTCTTTTCAGATTCATGTATTAAATTATTTATAAAATAATAAATTATTACAGTAGAGTCTCGAAAACTCGGCCTAATGTGGACCGAAGGGTGGCCGAGTTTGTGAAAATGCCGGGTTATCGGGAATGGGGTTAAAAAAGGATAAGTATGCGTGTTTCCTCAGAAAATACTGTACTGTACTTGTATGTATTGTTTACTTGAGAATACAACAGAGAATAAACTGCCCAAATACCCTTAAACAAAAGAAAAGCACGTCCTTTATGAAGGCATAGAGCCTTTACTACATGAAAATGAAAATTAATGAATACACTGTGTACAGTAATTTACCTGATAAGACAGACCTCAGAAAAATACTTTGAGGCATAAAGCTATCTATAATGAAAATTAATTAACTAAGGATTTTTTTGCCCTGCCAGGGTGTGGCCGAGTTATCTGGACTGCCGGGTTATCGAGTGCTGAGTTTTCGAGACTACTGTCTTTTGAAAAACTTTTTAATTTTAATTAATAGCCAAATTCAAACCCCTCATGGCTTCCAATATTGCTTGGATATTTTTTAAGAAATATAAAAACGAGAAGTTTTCCAAGTGAAATATGTGCATTTTCTATATTGAGAGGTCGAAAAATTGCTAAAACTTTTACCACCAAAATCATGATAAATCATCATGAAAACTTTTTCTTTTCATCTTTTAAGTTTCCTTTAAAAAGTTTTGAAACCAAAGAAGCTGGATGTTCATCAGTAACAACGGAAACTCATATCCAAAAACAAGCTATTTTAACTCAATTAAATTAATAGAGAAGAAAAAATTGTAGGATATAATTAATCAACAATCCAAAGAAGTTCATTATTTGATTGGATAAATGATAAGTGTAGACATACAGCCATACTCTGTTGTGTCTAATTTAGGATTTCAAAGATTACTAAAAAAATATCATTTTCAGCTGGGAATATTGTAATTAGGAATATCTTCCCTGAGATATTTCAAAAACCTCAGTCAAAAATTCAGAAAGCTATTGACGAAGAAAAATATATTTCTTTAACTGCTTATATTTGGACAGTAACTACAAACAATTCTCCTTTTTTTAAGTTAACAGCTCACTGGTTGAAGTGTGATTTTCAGCAAGAAAGAGCTGTTTTGCGAATTGTTCCCTTTGAAGGTTCCCATACAGGTACACGAATCAGTGAACAGATAAACATTGTTCTTGAACAGTATAAGCAAGTGATAAGATATTCTTAGTATTGAGAGATTCTGGAGTAAATATGGTAACTGGAATCAGGAATTGCAACTGAAAGGCATTATCATGCTTTACACATACACTGCAGCTGACACTAAACGAATGCACATTTTCTTAACAAGATGTGAAAACTATAATCACAGTTAATAGAAATATTGTCACACATTTTACTCATTCTGCTGTAGCTGTAAGCAAATTGGAAGATTTGCAAGACAAGTTAATTTGTGTTTCTGAAAACCTAATTCAAGATGTTCTCACCCTTGTCACATATGCTATAGATAATAAAATTCCTACGTTGAGCACATATCAGTGGTCTCTCGTTGAAAAAATTCTTCTACTTTTAAAACCATTCGAAGAAATTACTGCGGAAGCCAGCAAACGAACCACCTCATCTTCAATAATTCCCACAATAGACTCTTAAATTATTCTTATTATCAAAAGTAAAAACAGTAGTTTCTTAGGTGACAATAATACTAAAATAGAAGGACTCGAAAATTCAATTTAAAAAAATTTTTCAGCTTATATAGAAAACAAGTCTTTATGCTTGTCATCTTTATTAGATCCAAGGTTCAAAATGAAATTTCAAGAAAAGGAGGATATGGTAGAGGAAATAAAAAGATGGACAATTGATAGCTTAGAGGCTTCAGAATTTAATTCTTCTTGAGATTTTGAATTATCAAGATGGAGGAGAATCTCTTAAGTTTTTC